TATTCATAATAAAGGTGCGTTTTATCCTGTTCTGTGTCAAATGGTTAATTCGTTCACCACAAAAGTTGCTGAATAATTTCGAACCAATGATAAATTGTGTCAGTTTTAAACTGTCTTAGTATGTGAGTACGTGCTATTTACATTGATATGCATTGGTTGATTGGTCCCTTGTTCCCCAGATTCGGAAACATTCAACAAAAACCTCAATAATGATTAATTTTATATTATAACAAAAAATCGAACGATCCACAGCCGTATTCAATGAGGAATTGATTCAGTTCGAGCCTTAGGCGAGCACACTCTCAATGATATTCAATATGGCGTCATCGTTTGTTTTTGTTATCATATAAATTATCAATATCTGCAATGTAATCCGCGGTGATACCGCAAATTTTGGTTTATTTTACGCCAAATTCCGTAAAAGTTCGCCTAAATCCCGGAGCATATAGGCATGCGCCCCTCTACGCTCAATCTACCACAATCGCCGCATCACGCCAAGTTCGTATACAACGCGTGAAAACAAAACATTGTTCGGTTACATGACATTTAAACGCATGTTGTGCGAATACCGTGGTTGTGCTTCAGACATGCAGACAGCACACATCGTAAACAAATATTTAACTTTTACTTAACTTTAATGGAAAATGCCTTTCTTATATTTTTATTTTAACTTCATTTCACATTTTTGGTAACACCGGATATGTCGCATGATTATATGTTATCGAATAAAACACATGTCCAACTATGAACAAGATAGATAACTAGAAAATGAGATTTTTTCTGTAGTTTATGTTTGAGATTGAAATGTTGGAAAGATTAGATAAATCAGTGCACTAAATTCTGTTTATTATATAGCTGCATAGACACTATGTTACACTTTCAATGCCGTGTGATTGGCTTCATCGCAGAATAAAAACCAGAAGACTCAGTACATTTGCCTGTTCCATGGGCGCTCTTTCCAGAACACGTAATTATCTTATAAAAGGCATGTCTGAAATCTTTGTTGAACAAAGTATAAATACACGGGTTTATTCCCGATGACACGTAGCCAAGCCACGTAAAAACCAAGAAAACAGACTCCGGTACGTCGCAATGAGGACAAAAACCGATCGTTATGTTGATACAGAAGAATGGTAACCACAAAGCTACGAAACACGCGAATACAATCACCAGAGTCTTTGCTGCTCGTTTTTCTTTCGACCCTGCAGATCGCTGAAACTCAAACGATGAAACCAGCTCTGTACTGACACCGCCGTATGAATTAGCCCGGCTTCGTTTCCCAACAGACATTATACTGAGTCTAACTGACCGCCGTGGTGACAGCGATACTTTACCTAAACTATTACTCTCTTCTTTATCCGTCGACGAACCAGAATTGTTCTGCGCATTAAAATGTTCGTGCATCGCTTCTAATTTGGGTATGGCATGCCCGAGTCCCTGTTTCCGCCCCCTTAATAGATTTACGGAACGTATATCAACAACTATCATCACCAAAAGAGGAATAAAAAACGAACACATGGATGAATAAATAACGAACGTGTAGTCGAAGAATCCGCATGCCATTCCATTGTCGCGTAGGACGTTAGAGGGCGATGTTAGTCCATTCACAAATAACGGCACTGCAATGGCACCCGATACTACCCAGACAGGAATGATCGTAGCTGCAATACGTTGACGAGAACTTGCTCGATCACGCGAATATCTAAGTGGGAACGTTACTGCTAAATATCGATTCACAGCGATGGCACATAGATGTAGAATAGACGCCGTACAGAGCATGACATCAAGTGTTAGGTAGCACACACAAAGAATATGACCCATGCCCCAGTATCCTCGAACCTGAAAATAATCAGTAAAAAAAAGTATAAATTGATGTAAATTGCATTAAGTAATCGATAACAGTCGTCGATTCTGTATTATTGAAAACAGTGGTGCTAATAGTATTCACGAATAACCGACAATTTACTGGTTATGGGGAACTCAATTTCATCCATCAGGCAGTTGAACTGAGCGCAACATGTTCTTTTGAGCAAAAACATGTCTTCGAACTTATACCGTCATTTGTAATGTAATGTTTTCCAAATATTAGCAATGACATTTTTTTTAATTTACTTTAATTGATTTTATAATAAGTTTTTTTTACACATCCTTCAATTTGCACGGTTTTGCTGAAGCCGACCATCCATGGCGGAACCCGTGCATGGTCGTGTTAGGATAGGATACCTCATGTATTGGAATGTACGTATGGATACCAAGACGTCTGGGAATGTACGTATGGATACCAAGACGTCTTGGAATGTACGTATGGATACCTCGATGTATTGGAATGTACGTATGGATACCAAGACGTTTTGGAATGTACGAATGGATACCAAGACGTCTTGGAATGTACGTATGGATACCGAGACGTCTTGGAATGTACGTACGGATACCGAGACATCTTGGAATGTACGTACGGATACCAAGACGTCTTGGAATGTACGTACGGGTACCAAGACGTCTTGGAATGTACGTACGGATACCGAGACGTCTTGAAATGTACGTACGGATACCAAGATGTCGTGGAATGTACGTATGGATACCAAGATGTCTTGGAATGTACGTATGGATATCAAGATGTCGTGGAATGTACGTATGGATACCAAGATGTCTTGGAATGTACGTATGGTTACCAAGATGTCGTGGAATGTACGTATGGATACCAAGATGTCGTGGAATGTACGCATGGATACCAAGACGTCTTGGAATGTACGTATGGATACCAAGATGTCTTGGAATGTACGTATGGATACCGAGACGTCTGGAATGTACGTATGGATACCGAGACGTCTTGGAATGTACGTATGGATACCAAGACGTCTTGGAATGTACGTATGGATACTGAGACGTCTTGGAATGTACGTATGAATACCAATACGTCTTGGAATGTACGTATGGATACCAAGACGTCTTGGAATGTACGTATGGATACCAAGACGTCTTGGAATGTACGTATGGATACCAAGACGTCTTGGAATGTACGTATGGATACCAAGACGTCTTGGAATGTACGTACGGATACCAAGATGTCTTGGAATATACGTATGGATACCAAGACGTCTTGGAATGTACGTATGAATATCAAGACATCTTGGAATGTACGTATGGATACCATGA